TTATTATGTTATTACCTTGCTAGTGAGGAAGACCTGTGTTTAACCAGGGATGTAATAAGTTATACACATTGACCTTTCTCGATGTGCTTAGTGCTGCTTAGAATCGTCTGAAATCACCGGAAATTAGAAAGAAGTATTATTTATTTATTATATCATTTAATCCTAGATATACTAATAATTTATTAATTGTACTTCTCTAATTTAATCTAATTTCGATGGAGTGTCGCTTATTTCTTCAGTTTTTTAAAAAACATTTTTTATCAGCAAAAATCTTTTTGTGAATTGTACTTAAATCTAATTCATTCGTAAAGTGTATAAAGTATTGAATTTCATTTATTACCTCTAAATCGTCTGGATGACTGATTAACACTCCATATACAAAGAAACCCCCGAATTTAGCAATGGGATAATATTCATTAGATAATGTACAGAAGACCTTCCATAGTTTCTCTAAAAATTATATTATAAATATCAATACACACAAAATGTTTTGATGGAATTAATTTCAATATTAATGCACTTTATCCAAATACGTTGAAAACAAATAAACAACAATAAATATAAGAATAGATAATAATAAAGATAAGTATAATGGATTGCAAGTTGCTATTGCAAAGAGAATGCTCAGATAAGTAATTTACATGTAATAATTTTGATAAATATGTGTTCCAGAAATGATTCATGAATTTTTATTTATGCAAATGACAGATCAATTAATGTAAATAGATTAGAAATTTTGTATTTACCTGCTGACACTATGCTTTGGAACGGCATTGCCAATAATCGAAAGCCCGATGGTCCCGATATAAGATTAAGAAGTCGAGCGTTTCTTCCATAATGCACGTAATAATAATTATATATCAATAAAATAAATATAAATAATACCAATATAGTAATGAACATCATTTCTTCTGTTCTGATGTTTTTGATCGTTTAAATGAATTTAACTTTCTTCCATTTATTGCTTTTTTAATCTTGGATCACACATGTCACAAAATATATTATATTTGTTCAATAAAATTGACAATTAAACATTTATTTTGATATCCTAAATAATCCTAAACAAAGAAAGATGCTGAAATAGAAAGTATATAACAATCATTCTAATCTGCACTAATCGTATATTTTTTGTAGTTAATAATTTTAATGAGCTGTAAAAAAATATGATAAGTTTATTCCGGGTAAAGGGAAAAAATTATTTATATATTAAATTAGTCAATCAAGTACAAATTTTTTAATTAACTATTGTTTGCAAATGTTTTCTCTATTTATTTTATTGTATAACATAAAATTTTATAAAATCTTATTGCAAAATCTTAATTGTCTTTAATAGTATTACAATTTGCGCGAGTGTTATTCTTACATCTTTATATCAAACAATATAAATTGTTTTTAACAGCGTCATAATTTTGTTTATTCTTTAATTGTAAAGAAATGTAAGAATTCATAAGCGATCATATCATAATACACCAATTACGATTCATTATTGTACTTACGCACGTATCTTAAATCAATAAATATACTTTTATATTATAATGGTACAAGAGTGACTTTGTAAATAAACCGGAGCTATTTAATTAACAAATTCTATCATAAACAAATAATTATTTTGAATTTTTTTTTGTTTTCTTCCAAAATTGTTAGCCTAATAATATTCCCACATATAATAATAAATAAATTATATAATTTTTCTCGATTTCTTAAAAACGTTTATTTTTTTTTTAATTAAATATCGATTTTGTATATCTAATTATTGTATCAAACATGTCTGCAAGATTAATATAATGTACATTTAATAAGATAATAATATGAGAAATATTATAACATATTATAATAATTTATTAAAATTATAGCAATCAAATAGCTTATAGTTTGAAAAATATTGTATTAAACATTGGAATTTTGCAATAGAACATTATAAAATTGTATTTTATGCAAATATTATAAAGATTACCTGATAGATACTTTAATCGATACGATGATTAATCGATATATAACTCAAGTGATTTAAATGGAATTGCAACTCTCATCAAGCAGATATATAAGCCATTGGAAATCTGTGCGTGAACTGATAATAAAAATCTGAGGCCTGTATTTATAGCCTCTTAATTCAAATCCGTAATCAACTTTCTTAAGTCGCAAACGGCTGAATAATGCCACTTTGATTAAAGACTACATGACATTTTTTTCATATTTATATGAAAGAAATAGAAAGTTGTTTGTCAAGCCATTTTGATAGAAAAATAAATTTTTAGAAAACTCGAGATTCAATGTTCAAATTATTTTGATTTAAAATATCGATTATTTTTGTTATTCGAATATTTAACATATTCAAATCTTATAAAAATCAGAGGATGACATTTATGTCACTCTCTTTATGAGAAGCCTTATTTCTTTTTTTTTTGCAACAAATTGTTAACTTTCACTAGATCGAATACATTAGAATTCGATGCAATGAGAAGTGAGAACAATAAAATATCGATTCGTACAGCTTTTGTCTATAATCAACAAACTTGTTTATTATCATCTTCTGTTTCAGTTAGAATAAAATGAAATAATTAATATCGATAATCATTATATTATAAACAAGCAACATAGCAACATAGCAACATAGCAACATAGCACCAATAAGATAGCAGAATATCAGAAAAGAGCATAGAAAAATGTTAGTTTGCTAAATATAAATTTTGCATTTATATATCGTTAATATATTCAGTCGATTAATCTGTGTCGTTAAAAAAAGATCATAAACAAATTGACAGTTGAAAACAACATGATAATAAGATATAGTTGATAAAAGAATTATTTAAAAAATTGTTATGCTAGAGAATGTTGCTGAAGTGTATACTTTATTGGGTGGTGCTTTTTGTCTATAAAAATAATGTTATCACTTTTAGAAATTGACTTGAGAATAAACAGAGATACATAAGCATTATAAAATTTTATTCTTTTGATTTAATATGTTTTTGAAATATTAAAATATAATAAGATTATATAATAAGGATATAAATGCGAAACTAATAAAATATGAGAAAGGGGATATCATAAGAAGACAGGTATCATAAAAATAACATAAGAATTAATAAAAAGAAGTAAAATAAAACATAAAATATATACAATCATTTATTAAATCACAATTTAAACTTTATAAGATAAAACATTTTGACTAAAAGAATATTAATAAAAGAATGTTAATAAGAAAAAATGTTAATAAAAGGAGAAATTTTTTATATATTATATATTATATATAATTTTTTTATTTCCACTCAGCGAAAGAATTCCGGATTAACTTAATGAAAAATGGCTTTCCGTAGAATTGGCTGAATAAAAGAATATACAATTAAATTCTTTATTAAAAAGTTTAAATTATTTTTGCACGAAAAAACTTCCCTATAATAATATATTTTTAATTTTATTACATAAAAAAATTTTGTATAATAAATGTTTATATATTGTACATTAATATTTTGGTTAATCTGCTGTTACAATCGCGATAAATACTTTATAATATAACTATAACTGTAGCTATAGCTATAACTATAATTAAAATAGAGTTATAACTATATGATAATTAGCAGAAAATTTTAGGTTTTGCACCTCAATTAAGTTTATTTTTATGATATATATATATATATATATATTTTTTTTTTTCGGTATTTTCCTAATTTCAATAACTTATATTAGATTCAGCTTTATTTTTGTTTGCAAGTAATGTTTTCACTACATGAATAAGATTCATGACAAAGAACAACTTCTTATATTCATTTGATTGAAACTTCTTATATTCATATGGTATTAACATTAGTTTTAAATGACTATTTGCATTTGATCGGAATGAATTTAAGATGAACTGGATGAGAAGGACGAAGTATGATATCGAATTTTAATTGGATATCTTTTAAATAATCAATAGGTTCCAAGTAAAAATTATACACCAAAGGAGCTATTAGAGCTTTCATCTCCAGCATACCGAACCGTTGACCTACAATACAAAATTTATTAAAATCGATCGACAAATGAGGATAAACAAAATTGTGGTTAATTTACCTATGCAATTTCTCGATCCTGCGCTGAATGGTATATAACAATAAGGATGACGGCCCTGTATCCTCTCGGGCAAGAATCTATCCGGATCAAATACTTCTGGATTCGGCCAAAAATTGGGATCTCTGTGAACTCCGTAGATATTAAGATATAAGATCGTCCCAGAGGGTACGATATATGATTCTAAAAAAAGCATATTATAAGATTAAAAAATACTAAAATTTAGGAAAATAAGAATTTGTTGAGAAAAATAAAATAAAATATATTGTATTCTTAAAATACTAATTAATTATTTTACATTCAATAATATACACGTCGTATTATATGTGTTATATGTAACATGTTCAAAAATATATACAACAAAAAAGTGACTAAATAAATAATTACGTAATTTTACATCTTCCCCAGGGTTTCGTAATATGAAAAACACGCTAGGATACAAACGTAACGCTTCTTTTATACATCTTTCTAAATATGATAAATTTTGCAATGAACTCATGTTAAGTTTTCCTTCGTTTTCTTGCATTACATTATCGATTTCAATTCTCACTCGCTCCTGTATTATAATAATTAAAACATATTTTTTTTGTGGTTTCTATGTGTGTTCATGGATATGAATAAATTTTTAATAAAAAACATAATAGAATATTTAATTAAGAATATTTAGATATGTTTTAATCTCTGTGGATATATATATATATATATATATATATATATATATATATATATAGAAAAAACATATCGCAATCTGATATCAGTATAATTTTAAGTAAAAATCATAATTTAAACAATTATTATGTATTATAATATATTGCGAGAAATAAATACCTGGATATCTCTGTGTTCAGCTAATAGTAGTAAAGTATACATTATACCTGCCGCTGTAGTATCATGACCCTGTAATTATATGCATATCATATTGTTATTCGTACTTAGATATCATGTCCAAAAAATTAAATAATTAAAAAAAATTTTTTAAAATTAGACATACATACTTCGAACATAAAAGTATCGACTTCCTCTCTGATGTCCAAATCAGTTAAAGAATTTTCTTGAGATGCCGCTATTAAAAGGTCCAACATGGCTAACCGCTTTTTTTTAACTAGAAACAAAGCATCGTGATAACAATTTCACTTTTGCATATTGCGTTAATTTCATAGTATAATTCTTGTTTAAAATTTTAATGCTATTACAAATAATAATGATTTAATTTTGCAGCAAACCACTACGAGTGATTATGTGTATAATATAAATGGTACAAGCATAATTTATAATATTGATTGCACTGTGAAACTTAAATTAAAAACTCATCTCTTACGTACTTTTAAATATTTCGACATCTTCTGTTTCCTCATTATTTTCAAGATTTTTTAAATATTGATGGTTAGTAAGTTGGTGATAAAGCTTTCTTTCCGCAATAATCTACATAGGTACAATATTTAATTTTTAAAAATCTTTGTATTAATATCAATATAATTTTATATAAAAATGAAATATGAAGTATATGAAGGTGTTTTATTACGTACTTTTTCCGTAAATCCATGCAATATTTTCAAGACTTTCTTTTGCTTTCTTCCTTGTGGCGTCAATGAGAATAACATATCGTTGTAGAACCAAGGCTTCACTGCTCTAAATTCAATAAAGTTATATAATTGTAATTCAATAAAGCGATAATAGCTTCAATAATTCACTAATTTAATAAAGCTTTAGCTTGTAATTCAACAAAGCTATAATTTCAGTAATAATATAATTTTGTAAAAACCTAAAACGTTATTTGTAAAAGCATCATAAAATGAAAGTAATCCTTAAATGGTCATAAAATATAGAATATAAATCAAAAATTGAAAATTATGTATGTTTTATGAAAAGAATTCTCTACTAAGAATATTGTGCTTTTGTTTTAGCTACAAATTTTTTGGTCAAAGACAATTTCTCCTTAGATTCTATTATACAATTGATTTTTGCTTCATTTATCAAGATTCTAATATTTTAAATTCTTTTCTTTAACACTTTAACAGATTAACAGATTTCTTTAACACTTTAACAGATTAAAAACTGCAAATAATATTTATCTTATAATAAAACGCATAGTGGAGCACGAAGAGTATATTTTTATTACAACTTGTATATATTTTTATTGCCACTCCGCTTAAACGAATTGCTGTCTTATATTAATTGTTTATCTTCTTATGATTATTCATTAATTGACCTATTTTCAAAAAATATAAATATATAAATATATAAATATATATATATATATATATATATATATATATATATATCGTAATAATAATCATTACTTAAAAAATCCTAGATACATCACATTATATCACGCATTATATAGATTTATTGTATATCAATTAATATATAAATTACCTATAAACCAACAATTCTATTATATTCTATTATATTCTATTATATTCTTTTGCCTTCTTCCTTGTGATGACAATGAGAATAATAAATCGTTACCAAGCCCTTATTGTTCTAAATCAAAATTCAATAAATGTATGTACTTTAACATTATTTTGTAAAAGCGTTATTTAAAACTATGAAGTTAGAGTAATTTTTAAATAACTATAGATTGTAAAAGATGTATACAAAATTTAAAACTATATTACGAAAAAAGTAAAATTTTCTAAAAACACTTTATTTTATTTTAGCTATAGATTCTTTTGATCAAAGACAATTTTTTTACAAATTTGTTTACAAATTTTCACACGATTCAATTTTCTTTTAATTTTTAATCTGATATTTTTAATATTTTATAGATTATAAACAATTTTATAATAAAACATTCAGTGAGACACATATAATAGATTTTGATTGCAAATTGCCGACGCGTGAAACGAAGTGACGTTTTTTACGAAGTGACGTTTTTTACGAAGTCCATCTTTACATGATTATGCATTAATTTTTTTTCAAATATATAGATGTATTATAATCATGTTATAGGTGTATTATAATCATGTTATAGGTTATATGTCACAAATATATCACATAATTGTATACCATATGCATGAATTACCTGTAAATCATCAATTCAACTATTTCATTAATCGCATTTCGATATTGCTTTTGGAACTCGCCAAGTTTTTGCAGAGAGACGCCCATGGCAGTTTCTACAAATTTATTTATTATATAAGATTCAAAAGTGAATGATCGAAAATTATTAATAACTGAATTGTAAAAAGAGCTTTAAATGTAAAATATTGGATATTATGTATCTTTATTTGTAGTATTGAGAGATACTTCGTATAGAAGAACAAATTCTATTCTTATTTTAAGCTATAATCCAGAATTAAATCCTTTCCCGTACATAATATACAATAAGAGTCCTTACCGCATATCGCGTTTAACGTATGCTCACTAATAAAGGATGATAAATCCTTTACAACCGATATTTCGACATTTTTTAAAGATTTTGTCATGCAATCGCCCTCTTTGATAAAGATGTCGACAAATTGATTCAATATATTAAAATGAAATGTAGGTGTTAATATCTTTCGCCGCGTTTGCCACTTAACTCCTATAAACAAGATAACGTAAAATTTTGCCATAAAATACAGACAGTATTATATAAGATTATTGTCTCTCTTAGTTTAATGTTTAGTGAACAATTCTTAAACAACACATTATTTTTTTTTATATTTATTTTTCTTGTATCTTTAAAATTCCTTCTATAAACCTTTTTCTATGGAATTTTTACGGTAAGAGTAAGTTTTACTTTGTAATTAAATGTTTATGAATTAGCAAATAGAAATTTGATTTAATTAATAAGTTTATTATATTAAGGATAATTTATTAGTGATGATGTTTGACTTAACTAAAATATCTCTCTGTTACTTTTATTTGAAATACATGCGTCATAGCAAAATTATTCTTCAATATCTCACTTCCAATTTACTTTTAAATTTATTAGTTTTCACAATAAGAAAGTTGTGTGTATAAATTTATCGTGTAAAATGATATTTTAAATCTAATTGTAATTTTTATTTAATTTCCTATGATGAGGGCACATCGGCAACAAGCCGCAATAGAAAAGTATATACTTATATATTAATGTTATTATGTTATTACCTTTGCTAGTGAGGAGACCTGTGTTTAACCAGGGATGTAATAAGTTATACAAACGACCTTTCTCGATGTACTTAGTGCTGCTTAGAATCGTCTGAAATCACCGGAGATAGAAAGAAGTATATATTATCTATTTATTATATCACTTAATCGTAAATATACTAATAATTTATTAATTGTACTTCTCTAATTTAATCTAATCTCGATGGAGTTTCACTTTGTCTCTTCATTTTTTTAAAAAAACGTTTCTTATCTACAAAAATCTGTTTGCCAATTGTAAAATTTAAATCTAATTTAATCGTAATGTGTATAAAATATTAAATTTCTTTTATTACCTCTAAATCATCTGGATGACTGATACATACTCCATATACAAAGAAACCTCCAAATTTAAAAAAGGGATAATATTCATTCATTAATGTACAGGCCAGCTTCCATAGTTCCTCTGAAAATTATATTATAAATATTAATACAGCCAAAAATATTTTTATACGATTAATTTTCAATATTGATGTATCTTCATTCAAATACTTTAAAAACAAATAAATAATAAAGGTAAGAATAAATAATAATAAAGATAAGAATAATAGATTGCAAATTATTATTGCAAAAAGAAGTGCTCAAATAAATAATCTATATATAATAATTTGATAAATATCTATATGTTCCAGAATAAATGATTTATAAATTTTTATTTGTATTAATGATAAGTCAATTAATGTAAATATATTACAAATTTTGTATTTACCTACTGACACATAGCATTGGAGTGCATTGCCAATAATTGGATAGCCCGATGGTCCCGGTATAAGATTAAGAAGTCGATTGTTCCTTTCATAATGCACGTAGTAATTATAAATCAATAAAATAAATATGAATAATATCAATATAATAATGAACATTGTTTCTTTCGTTCTGATGTTCTCGGTCGTTTATTTGAGTTTAACTTTTTTATGTTTATTCCTTTTTTAATGTTGGATCACACATGTCACAAAATAAATGATATTTGTTCAATAAAATTGACAATTAAACATTTACTTTGATATCCTAAATAATCCTAAACAAAGAAAGATGCTGAAATAGAGAATATATAAATAACAATCATTCTAATCTGCATTAATCTTATATTTTTGATAGTTAATAATTTTAATGAGCTGTAAAAAATATGATAAGTTTATTCCGGGTAAAGGGAAAAAAACATTATTTATATATTAAATTAATCAGTCGAGTAAAAATTTTTTAATTAACCATTGTTTGCAAATGTTTTCTCTATTTTTATATTGTATAACATAAAATTTTATAAAATCCTATTGTAAAATCTTAATTGTCTTTAATAGTAGTACAATTTGCGCGAGTGTTATTCTTACATCTTTATAAACAATATAAATTGTTTTTAACAGTGTTATAATTTTGTTTATTCTTTAATTGTAAAGAAATATAAAGAATTCATAAGCGATCATATCATAATACACAATTACAATTCATTACTGTACTTACAAATACGCACGTATCTTAAATCAATAAATATACTTTTATATTGTAATAATACGTGAGTGACTTTGTAATAAACCGGAGCTATTTAACAAATTCTATCATAAACAAAGAATTATTAAAAAAATTTTTTTTTGTTTTCTTCCTACATTGTTACCTAATAAAACCTAATAACCTAAAACCTAATAATATTCCCACATATAGTAAGAAATAAATTATATAATTTTCTCGATTTCTTAAAAACGTTTATTCTTTTTTTATTTAAATATTGTTTATTGATTTTGTATATCATAATTATTGCATCAAACATGTCTACAAGATTAATATAATGTACATTTAATAAGATAATAATATGAGAAATATTATACTATATTATAATAATTTATTAAAATTATAGCAATCAAATAGCTTATAGTTTGAAAAAATTGTATTAAACATTGGAATTTTGCAATAGAACATTATAAAATTGTATTTTATGCAAATATTATAAAGATTACCTGATAGATATTTTGATACGATGATCAATCGATACATAACTCAAGTGATTTAAATGGAATTGCAACTTTCATCAAGCAGATATATAGGCCAGTGGAAATCTCTGCGTGAACTGATAATGAAAATCTGAGGCCTGTATTTATAGCCTCTTAATTCAAATCCGTAATCAGCTTTCTTGAGTGCCAAACGGCTGAATAATGCCACTTTGATTAATGACTACGTGACATTTTTTTCGTATTTATACGAAAGAAATAAAAAGTTGTTTGATAAAAAATTTTGATAAAAAAATGGCTTGACAAGGATTGAATTTTTCAACAAGGAAAACTCAAGATTCAATGTTCAAATTATTTTGATTTAAAATATCGATTATTTTTGTTATTCGAATATTTAACACATTCAAATCTTATAAAAATCAGAGGATGACATTTATGTTACTCTCTTTATGAGAAGCCTTATTTCTTTTTTTTCTGCAACAAATTGTTAACTTTTACTAGATCGAATATATTAGAATTCGATGCAATGAGAAATGAGAACAATAAAATATCGATTTGTACAGCTTTTGTCTATAATCAACAGACTTGTTTTATTATCATCTTTTGTTTCAGTTAGAATAAAATGAAATAAGTAATTTCGATAATCATTATATTATAAACAAGCAACATAGCAACATAGCAACATAGCAACATAGCACCAATAAGATAGCAGAATATCAGAAAAGAGCATAGAAAAATGTTAGTTTGCTAAATATAAATTTTGCATTTATATATCGTTAATCTATTCAGTCGATTAATCTATGTCGTTAAAAAAAGATCATAAAAACTTGACAGTTGAAAACAAAACATGATAATAAGATATAGTTGATTAGAATTTGAAAAGAATTATTTAAAAAATTGTTATGCTAGAGAATGTTGCTGAAGTATGTACTTTATTGCGTAATGCTTTTTTGTTTACAAAAATAATGTTATCACTTTTAGAAATTGACTTGAGAATAAACAGAGGTACATAAGCATTATAAAATTTTATCCTTTTGATTTAATATGTTTTTGAAATATTAAAATATAATAAGATTATATAATAAGGATATAAATGTGAAACTAATAAAATATGAGAAAAGGGATATAGGATATAGGATATAGGATATAGGATATAGGATTCATAAGAAGACAGATATCATAAAAATAACATAAGAATTAATAAAAAGGAGTAAAATAAAACATAAAATATATACAATCATTTATTAAATAACTTATTAAATCACTTTATAAGATAAAACATTTTGACTAAAAGAATATTAATAAAAGAATGTTAATAAGAAAAAATGTTAATAAAAGGAGAAATTTTTTATATATTATGTATTATATATAATTTTTTTATTTCCACTCAGCGAAAGAATTCCGGATTAACTTAATGAAAAATGGCTTTCCGTAGAATTGGCTGAATAAAAGAATATACAATTAAATTCTTTATTAAAAAGTTTAAATTATTTTTGCACGAAAAAACTTCCCTATAATAATATATTTTTAATTTTATTACATAAAAAAATTTTGTATAATAAATGTTTATATATTGTACATTAATATTTTGGTTAATCTGCTGTTACAATCGCGATAAATACTTTATAATATAACTATAACTGTAGCTATAGCTATAACTATAATTAAAATAGAGTTATAACTATATGATAATTAGCAGAAAATTTTAGGTTTTGCACCTCAATTAAGTTTATTTTTATGATATATATATATATATATATATATTTTTTTTTTTCGGTATTTTCCTAATTTCAATAACTTATATTAGATTCAGCTTTATTTTTGTTTGCAAGTAATGTTTTCACTACATGAATAAGATTCATGACAAAGAACAACTTCTTATATTCATTTGATTGAAACTTCTTATATTCATATGGTATTAACATTAGTTTTAAATGACTATTTGCATTTGATCGGAATGAATTTAAGATGAACTGGATGAGAAGGACGAAGTATGATATCGAATTTTAATTGGATATCTTTTAAATAATCAATAGGTTCCAAGTAAAAATTATACACCAAAGGAGCTATTAGAGCTTTCATCTCCAGCATACCGAACCGTTGACCTACAATACAAAATTTATTAAAATCGATCGACAAATGAGGATAAACAAAATTGTGGTTAATTTACCTATGCAATTTCTCGATCCTGCGCTGAATGGTATATAACAATAAGGATGACGGCCCTGTATCCTCTCGGGCAAGAATCTATCCGGATCAAATACTTCTGGATTCGGCCAAAAATTGGGATCTCTGTGAACTCCGTAGATATTAAGATATAAGATCGTCCCAGAGGGTACGATATATGATTCTAAAAAAAGCATATTATAAGATTAAAAAATACTAAAATTTAGGAAAATAAGAATTTGTTGAGAAAAATAAAATAAAATATATTGTATTCTTAAAATACTAATTAATTATTTTACATTCAATAATATACACGTCGTATTATATGTGTTATATGTAACATGTTCAAAAATATATACAACAAAAAAGTGACTAAATAAATAATTACGTAATTTTACATCTTCCCCAGGGTTTCGTAATATGAAAAACACGCTAGGATACAAACGTAACGCTTCTTTTATACATCTTTCTAAATATGATAAATTTTGCAATGAACTCATGTTAAGTTTTCCTTCGTTTTCTTGCATTACATTATCGATTTCAATTCTCACTCGCTCCTGTATTATAATAATTAAAACATATTTTTTTTGTGGTTTCTATGTGTGTTCATGGATATGAATAAATTTTTAATAAAAAACATAATAGAATATTTAATTAAGAATATTTAGATATGTTTTAATCTCTGTGGATATATATATATATATATATATATATATATATATATATATATAGAAAAAACATATCGCAATCTGATATCAGTATAATTTTAAGTAAAAATCATAATTTAAACAATTATTATGTATTATAATATATTGCGAGAAATAAATACCTGGATATCTCTGTGTTCAGCTAATAGTAGTAAAGTATACATTATACCTGCCGCTGTAGTATCATGACCCTGTAATTATATGCATATCATATTGTTATTCGTACTTAGATATCATGTCCAAAAAATTAAATAATTAAAAAAAATTTTTTTAAAATTAGACATACATACTTCGAACATAAAAGTATCGACTTCCTCTCTGATGTCCAAATCAGTTAAAGAATTTTCTTGAGATGCCGCTATTAAAAGGTCCAACATGGCTAACCGCTTTTTTTTAACTAGAAACAAAGCATCGTGATAACAATTTCACTTTTGCATATTGCGTTAATTTCATAGTATAATTCTTGTTTAAAATTTTAATGCTATTACAAATAATAATGATTTAATTTTGCAGCAAACCACTACGAGTGATTATGTGTATAATATAAATGGTACAAGCATAATTTATAATATTGATTGCACTGTGAAACTTAAATTAAAAACTCATCTCTTACGTACTTTTAAATATTTCGACATCTTCTGTTTCCTCATTATTTTCAAGATTTTTTAAATATTGATGGTTATTAAGTTGGTGATAAAGCTTTCTTTCCGCAATAATCTACATAGGTACAATATTTAATTTTTAAAAATCTTTGTATTAATATCAATATAATTTTATATAAAAATGAAATATGAAGTATATGAAGGTGTTTTATTACGTACTTTTTCCGTAAATCCATGCAATATTTTCAAGACTTTCTTTTGCTTTCTTCCTTGTGGCGTCAATGAGAATAACATATCGTTGTAGAACCAAGGCTTCACTGCTCTAAATTCAATAAAGTTATATAATTGTAATTCAATAAAGCGATAATAGCTTCAATAATTCACTAATTTAATAAAGCTTTAGCTTGTAATTCAACAAAGCTATAATTTCAGTAATAATATAATTTTGTAAAAACCTAAAACGTTATTTGTAAAAGCATCATAAAATGAAAGTAATCCTTAAATGGTCATAAAATATAGAATATAAATCAAAAATTGAAAATTATGTATGTTTTATGAAAAGAATTCTCTACTAAGAATATTGTGCTTTTGTTTTAGCTACAAATTTTTTGGTCAAAGACAATTTCTCCTTAGATTCTATTATACAATTGATTTTTGCTTCATTTATCAAGATTCTAATATTTTAAATTCTTTTCTTTAACACTTTAACAGATTAACAGATTTCTTTAACACTTTAACAGATTAAAAACTGCAAATAATATTTATCTTATAATAAAACGCATAGTGGAGCACGAAGAGTATATTTTTATTACAACTTGTATATATTTTTATTGCCACTCCGCTTAAACGAATTGCTGTCTTATATTAATTGTTTATCTTCTTATGATTATTCATTAATTGACCTATTTTCAAAAAATATAAATATATAAATATATAAATATATATATATATATATATATATATATATATATATATCGTAATAATAATCATTACTTAAAAAATCCTAGATACATCACATTATATCACGCATTATATAGATTTATTGTATATCAATTAATATATAAATTACCTATAAACCAACAATTCTATTATATTCTATTATATTCTATTATATTCTTTTGCCTTCTTCCTTGTGATGACAATGAGAATAATAAATCGTTACCAAGCCCTTATTGTTCTAAATCAAAATTCAATAAATGTATGTACTTTAACATTATTTTGTAAAAGCGTTATTTAAAACTATGAAGTTAGAGTAATTTTTAAATAACTATAGATTGTAAAAGATGTATACAAAATTTAAAACTATATTACGAAAAAAGTAAAATTTTCTAAAAACACTTTATTTTATTTTAGCTATAGATTCTTTTGATCAAAGACAATTTTTTTACAAATTTGTTTACAAATTTTCACACGATTCAATTTTCTTTTAATTTTTAATCTGATATTTTTAATATTTTATAGATTATAAACAATTTTATAATAAAACATTCAGTGAGACACATATAATAGATTTTGATTGCAAATTGCCGACGCGTGAAACGAAGTGACGTTTTTTACGAAGTGACGTTTTTTACGAAGTCCATCTTTACATGATTATGCATTAATTTTTTTTCAAATATATAGATGTATTAT